ATTCCAGTGAAATTAAGGTGTGAAACATGGTAGTATTATTTCATGGCATTAATAGTTTTCCACAATCTTGCTACTATTTTGAAGTATGCATTTATCCAAGCCTGACACCATTTGCAATATATGTATCAAGAGAATTTTCCTTGTGCCCTTGATCTTGTCGAGAATTTTTCTGTATGTTAACTGGTGACCTATAACTTGGCAGAACAAAATAAGATACTGCTTTACTGAAATAATGGACAGTGAACAATGAAGGGAGCTAGAATCAAACTATGACAAGTTGAGGGAGGCTCGGGACAAGGTCCAGGAGAGTCAGCGCTGTTAGATGCTTGCTTTATTTTTCACAGTCTGGCATAGCCATGTGAGATGACAGCAAGAGAGAAAAGGAAACTGGGCCAGAGGATTAGAGCACAGGGAGGATTTAGGTTTAATAGGATTTTATTGGGCTCTAAGTAGAGATTGTCTGAGGTAGTTTGACCCCAAATGAATTCCCCGCCACTGCTGTTAGTTACAACTGAGAGCACAAGGGTCCCCTCCTCCACGTGTTCCCAATATTTGAAGAGTCCTCACCCTTAGATGCAATTTTACACGATAAGCACTTTTCTAGTAATAGACCTTTTATGGGTGTAGTAGCAGCCCATTCAGGGCGTTCCAAAGTGCATTCTGAAACGTGAGGTTTTATTCCGGCAGTTGCTCAAGAAACAAACCAACCATGAATTATATTTAGGATGATTGATTCCTGTGCTTTGGGTTCCTTAAGTGACGTATGCTTTAATCATAAAAAGCCATACCAAAAGAATCTCATTTACAATGATTTTAGAATTCTTAAAAAGATTTTTGCACAGTGGCCATTGTCCTTCTTTAATGATTATCTGACTATCCCTCCCCAATTAGAGTAACAGTTGCAATAAAGTACATAACATAATGACTTTTGAGCTGGGAGAGAAATAATCATTTAGTACTAACTACTCACTTAAACGAGGTTCCAACCAAGAGCCCCATTTTTTACTCGGGGGTCTCACAGCTGGGTGAGAACTTTGAATCGGAGTCCCAGTTCAAAGCTGAAGTTTCCAAGTGGAGACGTCTAAGTTTTCTGACTTCCACACTTGGAGAACTGAGCTTGCAAACTCTTAGCCTTTACACTTTGTCCCTCAGTTTAAATCCACCTGAACTTTCAAACCATTTCCCCGAACCAACCAGAGAACTATGAGGTGGGGAGAAGAAGGAAAGGTGGGAAGGGAGCCTGCCATGTCTTTCAAGTTTAAGACATTACTTCTGATTTGGTAACTCACTGTGAAAAGACTTGGCTTTGCTACTGCTGGTCCCTGCAAATATGATTGCTTTTTCCTTAATAAAAATGTTCTTTTGGCTCTGTCTCCCTTTAAGGTGGCCATCCATTTATTTTTCTTAAGGAATTTTTTCTTTATAATTTGTTATTAGAGGATATCATATTGAAACAAATAAAAGAATTAAAGGATGGTATGAGATAATATAAAATACATGCCAAAATACTTACATCGTTAAGTTCAGTTTGATCGTGAAAGAGGGATATATTAAAGTATAGTTATGCAGGAAATATATTACAGGAGAAAATGTGATTTTGACACATTTATAGCTTTCCTAAGTATCGTAGTTTTTGAAAAGAGTCTGGAATTAGATAAGATGTGTATTTGGGAATGAGACTGAAGGAATTTTTACATTGCAAAGAGGTGTGATCTAGATGACTAGAATCTAAGCTTTTATAACTATATGGTATATTTTATATTATATGTATTTTATAATTTTGTGATGTGGAAGCCAATGCTTATGCTTTTTTATACTCAAATAAAAGATATATACTTTTTAAAAAGGGCAAATAAAAATATACATAATTCTTATGTCAGTTATCTGTCTCCAACAATAATTTAATAGAATTTTTCCTTACTGATGGGAAGTATTTTTATACATAATATTAAGGTATGTAAATAGCATCTTTGGAAATGATACAGTATTTCTGTCTTGCAGTATAGAATCTGTGCCGATGTGTTCAGGCTGTTGTATATGTATTCTGATGGCTCTCCTATACCACCCTCACCCCCACGGCAAAAAAACTCAACATCCACACCTCAAAACCACACGCAACCACTTTTGGAAAAAGAGTCCTTTGGGTATTTTTTTGCTGTTGGTGGTTTGTTTGAAGAAAGGGTCTGATGGTTTATAGAGCTCTCTCTCTTATGGGCATGAAATTTGAGTTGACGTACATGTGTGTATTTATGGGAATAACAGTCTGAATAAGTGCCAAGAGTGGCAAACATTCCCAGTTTCAGATACCTTAGGCTGAAGAGGGCACGGGGCAAGAAAGGAGAAATATTCAGTAATGCCATGCTCGTGACACCAGCACACATTCCTGCGACACCAGCCTCTCTTACGTACTCACAGCTTTTTGCTTAGGTTTTGTCCTTCTCTGTTCTTCACTTGGGACTTTTAGCTGTGATCTGAGAGGTAAATAAAAAGCTCGGAATGGAAAAATGCAAAAAGAAAAAGAAAAAAGCGAAAACCTGATAACAGGCAAATGCAGAAATATTTTGAAAACCTTGGTGCTTGAAGAAATGTGCCCATGTACCTCTCTCAATAATATGGTGGTGTCTATTCCTTTCAGCTTTATCTTGCCCTGGGGCCATGCCTGTGCTTTAATTCTCTAATGTGATAATAAGAGAGTAGAAATAAATGTCCAGCTCTTTGGTCTCTGGGTGTGTTAGGTGGCATTTTCATTTATAAAATATGCTGGCCCAGTGTTTCTTGTTTCAAATGTGGCTTGCTTGACTTGTTCTTCCTTTCTCACGGAAGTTTCTAGATGTTGTGGTTTCTGTATTCATGACCCTTTAGATTCTTTAGTCATCTGCCTTAAAAGTACGATCAGATAAGCAAGTGAGATGCATTTTCTCAGAGAAGGTCCAGATTCCTTAAGGGAGTAGGGCTGGGGATTCTAACCAGGCCAAAGGAATGTCGTTTTCTAGAAAGAACACTAGACTAGGAATCAAGAGACTTACGTTCTATCTCCATTAAAGCTAACTTGTAAGTTTATGACCTTAGCTAAGATATTTGTCCTGTCTGTAATGCAATCTCATTCTCTGAAAGGATTGCATGTAAAGTCCTTTTAAGAATTAACTTAAAGGAACTTAGAGATCATGTGTCTAATTTTGATCTAGAGGCCATTGGCGTGATGTATGTTCCCCTCATACCACTGAAGAAAAGTGAGAATCATGGGGGAAGGAATCTCAAGGAGTCTTTTACTTTTTTAATCTCTGGGATAAGCCAAAACATTCTGATTTTCCTCATTAATATCATTATATCATCTGAATAAAATACCTGGACATGTTCACAGAAGTATTATGTTTGGAACAATAAGGAAGTTGAGTCAGAACTTGTTTCATCTCTTATCACTTAAAGCTGCATGCTAAAATGTTATATACTCTGCATGTGTGGGGTGGCCACCCTGAATTTTTATAACACCAGAGGGGCCCAACAAAATGTGCCTTTCAGTGGCAGAGGTCCATGGTTGGCACTGAACAATGTCTTATGGAAAACAATAACTTTGTATAATTAGGAATTATATTCTGGGGAATTCATCAATTTAAATATTAAAATATAGAAGATATACACAAGCTGTTTCTCTCAGGCATGCAGTTCTCCTTCCAACAGGTCTTCCTCTTTTTATATACTTTAATCCTCTTTCATTCTCCTTAAAAATGTTTCTTAGAATTATTAATTCTTGCAAGTTTTCTGTCCTAATGTTCTACCACTTTTTAAAGAGATCCTTTAATGTAGAATGGTTGGTCTCCCCATCACACCCCCAAAGGAAGCACTTGTTTTGAATCTTCCTTAATTATTTTCCAGTGTTTAATTTCACACCCCACAAAAAACTTGATCCTTAAGTCTAATCCGAATCGTCATCTTCAGCCTCCTTACATTTATTGTTCGCAGGAGAAGCAGATGATCGGTGTTCTCCTGGTAATACCCTTCATATTAGTCAGTTGAAAATAGCCGTTTTTTGTTTTTCCTTTGACACTACAAGTCTGGAAATTTTCTCATGTATTTTGTTTTCCAGTGCTCTTGTAATTACAAGGTAATTACTTTTTTCTGAACTCTCTCCAGTCTGTACACTAAAAAATCAATATTTTGAACTGTACCCAGTCTTTTTATGGGTTGATCAAACTGGCAAGATAACACCATTATCTTACTTCTCTTGCCAGAGAGCCCCACACAGCTGCATCATACTCACTGTACACTCTGTGACCTCAATATCTTTCATCTCCCTGCTGGGAGTCCGTTGTAGCCAGACTTTCTTCATATTTTAGCCACATAAATTCATTTGTCATTAGTAAGTGTGCTACCTTGGACTCATACCTAGTAAGCACTATCTTGTTTTTGATGGATTATTTCTATCTCTGATTTGCCAAGGTTACTTGGAATTCTATTATTTTTCAGAAAATCTACAAACAGTAACTTTGTTTGTAGCCACAAAATGAGAATGTTTTCAGTTTCATTATGACAGTTATTGATTAAAAAAATTCAATAATATTGGGCCCAGGAGTCTGGGTGCTGTTTTATAACTACCCTAAGTTATATCAAGCCATTTATTTCTGTCACTATTAACTAACAGTTTTTCTGTTTCTGGATGTTTTTAAACTCCATACATATTGGCATCATAGTTTCTTGCTTGATTATAGAAACTAAATTTGAGTGAGTTAGAATTACAATCTAAGGGGTTATGATTGGTGGTTGTGGAGAGAATAAACCCAATAATTGTTTAATTTATGCTTGTAGCTTTTATAGCATCATTATTTTATATTTTTAGTAGCAAGGTGACAGAAAATAGGGAGGCTTTTAGATTGAGTAGAAATGTCCATTTTGTATATATTTTGTTCTGTGTTAGACTTTGAGACTGTCTATGCTTTGATTTAAATTTAATAGTGTCCTTTTAAATATGAACATAATGAGATGTATTTTTTGTTATTGTCATTACAGGTTTCAGAAGGTGACAATGAAATGTGAAGAAGTTACATTTCTAATGTGATACTTGAAAGTTAGTAACTGCTTACCAAATTTTTGTGAAAACTAAATATGACTTAGAAGCATTGATTTATGAAGGTTTATGATGTCATCGGTTGTGACAGAAAGCAAACTGCAGCAGGCTGTGAGCCTGCAAGGAGTGGACCCAGAAACATGCATGATGGTATTTAAAAACCACTGGGCACAGGTAATGTATGCGTTCCACCTTTTCTGCTGGTCTAGGTAGCCCTAGAGGCCTCCATCACACTGAACCAGGGTTTCCTGCCACTATGACAGGTCAGTAGATTTTTAGAAACATAGGGAGGAAAACACTTTCAGGTAGAAAGAAAAGCAACTTTCTCTTCTTGCTTTCCTAGAATAGGTAGGTAGCTGGTTAAAAACCATGGTTTTTACAAAAGCAGTTAGGGAACATGTATGTTCCTCAGATGTTTTTAGAAGAACAGCAGTTGGCCTTAAAGTAACTTGGACATCACTTTCAATATACTTGACCATCCTCTCTTTCCTTCCTCCCTGCTGATTTCCATCTAGACCTTATAGTCTAACAGTACTAAAGTACACATTTGTTAGGTATTTACCTAAGTGCTATGCTGAATATTTAAATGCCCTATGTCCTTTAATCTTCTCCACAAACCCATAAGGCAGTTTCTTCATTTTACAGATGAGGGAATGGAAAATTATAGAGGTTAAGGAACTCACTTGAGGTTAAGTAATTTGCTTGAGATTATCCACCTAGTGAGTTTCCCAGCAAGTGCTCAGACCTTGGTCTTGACCTCTGTGCACTACCATTTTTCGGGCTGGTGGTCCCTGTGTAATCTGAGGAAAGAGGACGGGCACCAGGTGGTATCTGAATTCGTTACAAGGCTGATTATAAAAGTTTTTTTGATTATTCATTTTGACTTCTCTGTGACTCTTCTCTGATCTGTTTGTATGGATAATTAAGGGTTGAATGTTCATAAAATTTACCAGCTCACCCCTTTCCTCAGGGAGTTTTATAAGTAGTAAAATAAATAAAATTGGCATTTTTTACTACTTGTCCAACATTATGTTCCCTAGGTGAGCTGGTAAGTGGCTATTTATGTGACAGTTTTTTAATAACTACCCAGCTCCTTCCTGTGGCCGGAAACAGCACATGGATTAAAGCATTGAGCCTGTAAATCACAGCAATTATAGGGGACACCATTTAGATCAAAAACAAAATCACTTCTGCTTCTGGGTCATTTATACTTTGGAGCTCCTTGTCACACTATCCAATGTAAAACTTCGAAAATTTTTTATGCATTTCCCATTTTCTCAGTTTTTACAGTCTTAATGGGTTGCCTTTGGCATATCTGCTTTAGCAAAGGGAAGAAAATAGTTCAGGAGTTTTCCAGGTAATAATTACCTTTGACTTTGCAGTTTTAAAAGGATTTTAAAGCACTGGCTCCAGAGTGGGTTGGTGAACCCCTGAGGGACGTGCCCAACAGGTTGTTGAGTGTGGAAGGAATATTTTAGAAGGCCTATTTCTAACTTTGTCTTTAAAAATATATATCAATTTTGCGTTTATAATGAACATAATATATGCATATGTTAATATGTGTATATTATTTTAACTATGTGTCCTCATTTAACTGGTAAGAGTGCACAGTCCGATGTTTTGTTTTGAGAGCATTTTTAGCTTCAGTCATTTCACTGGGCCGAGGAAGTCTATTGTTCTAATAGGTATTCTTTTCTCTCAGCTCCAGTTTGTTGGTCTGTGTGTAAACATTTGATTGTAATCATTCCTGCCGGGGTATCTGTGATGTAGTCCATTTAGTACCACTCTTCAAAGACATGATATATATCATCACCCTCTTGATTTTATGTAGATGGATCATTTGTCCTTTCAGAGTTTGTCCTGGGCAAGCTTTCTCCAAAGCTGTCTGAGTGCCGTTAGAACGTCTTAATTCAGGAAGGTGTAAATACTCTTTCACGTTGGTGAAGGAGTAAATATTGGTCCCAGAATCGTATTATTCATTTTCATATCCAATATGAATAACTTCAGCACTATCAGACATTTTGGGTTATCTGAAGCATAGCACCTTCCACTTAGTGCAGAAAATGTCAAGTTGAGGGTGAGGATAACTTTGTCAGAGAGAGTGGTGTTTAGTTAGTAAACATGGCCTTTCATAAAGTAAGGACGCTCTTGGTCTTGTTGTTTCAGCCATTTATTTAACTTTGGGCCAGTTTCTTCCCTCTTTAGTCTTTACTTCTTCTTTTTAATAAGTCTGGAAAATGCCCTCAGTCTCTTTCAACTTCTCAAAGCTCTTGAGGATCATTCTGTTACCTTTATGAAAAAAATACTAGTTGAAGAAATTCATGTGGATATCCATGTGATTATTTGGAGATTTACTGAGCCCAAACTTCAGGTACAGCACTGTAGGTGTCACAGGTGGGGATATAGGAACATACGAGCCTTGGACTGAGCTTTTAAACAATGAATCAGCTAATTTGGATGACAATGTGAGATACGTTATTATAAATGAATATTATGGATTACAGGAATTAAGGGAAGGGACTATTGTGGATGGTAATGGCCTGGGAAATGGAAGAAGGAAGATTTGCTAGCTTGGCTGAGTAAAGAAGGTCTTGACGACAGAAACTAAAAACTACATTTCAGAGAAGGGGTATTGGAAACAAATGCTAAGCTTTGGCTTTTTTTGGATGGTTAAAAAGTGAGGAAGTCAGGGCAAGGCAGAGATGTGAGGGATGGGTGTGAGGTAAGGAATGAGATCTTTAGCTGATAGGAACAAATGCTATTTATTATTTTGGAGTTTTATACATTAGCACTTCTTCCGTGAGTTGTTCAGGATGGTGGTGGATGAAGAGCAGTTGCAGAGGATTGAGAAGTGAGCTAAAACCTGACATAAACTCCTATGACTGATGTGATTGTAGCCCCTGGGTTCCCCTAGGCAGCCCAAGAAAACCTGGAAGGCTGGTAAGAAATGTGGTATAGACAGAACTGGGTGACAACATTTTATCTACTGAAGTGTTCCATTAGCTGGCAAGTGCAGCATTTTTTAATCCAGAGTGCTTCTGTTTTTTAGAACACTTCAGTATAAATTCAGCATAATTAACATATATTTGACAGGTTCTGTTCTACTCTTTACTAGTAGCTTCTTTTCCAGACCTTGAGTTAAAAAGCACACTTTGATGGAGGAGGATATCCGTTTGCCCACATACACTTTGCAGTCTGTCAGGAATAGCTAGTTATACGACCAGCCATTGCCAAGGCAGTCCTTGATTCATGCACGGAATGTCATGTGGGAAGAGTTTTGAGTGGCCCAGTGGTAGACTTGAGTTTCCAAACTGTTCCCTGGGTCCATTGACTTCATGACAGGAATAATTGCATTCCTACTAGTGACCCCGGAGCCTCCAGGCTGCAAGAGATAGAACCGGCCTATACTTCCTCTCACCTGAGATGCCATCTTGCACCATAAGATGTTAGAACAACAAATCTAAAACCCAGATCTGTCTGGATCATTTCTTAAGTTGGACATTTCAGTGGCATCAAGCCAGCTACAGACCAGCATGGCACATAGGGTTCTTTATGTCCTGTCCTCTTTTCACTCCTCATCTTCCATTTAGTCTCCAGAAATGCAAATCATGGCACATAGGGTTCTTTATGTCCTGTCCTCTTTCACTCCTCATCTTCCATTTAGTCTCCATCACTTGGAGTTCCTGGCCAACCCCATTCCTGGGCAGTGGCATCATGCTATTTCATGCCTCTCTGCCTTCGGCACTTACTCTTCTTTCTGCCTGGAATCTCTCTCCCCCTGATTAAATGCCTCTCCTGTAGGACTCATATGGGGGTGCCATTTCCTCCAGGAAATCTTCCCCGTTCTGTTTTATGCTCCCATTCTGTGCTCCAACAGCATCCTGAGTATTCTTTCACTGTTACACTAACCACTTTTTATTAAAATTACATGTACAGTATCTTCTTTCCAACCTCATTTCAAGCATCTCATGACAGAGACCATATGTATTTTGCCTACATCTCCAGTGCCAAGAATATCGCAGGCATATTGTAGATGTTCAACAAATTGTTGAACTGAAAGACAGGAAATATGACGTATGTCTTTAGAAGAGCTAGGTGACTTAGAAAAGAGGTGTAAGCATACACTAATATAAAACATTTTATAATTTGCTACCAATAAGATCTTTGGATTTGCATTTAATGATCAGTGATCTGGAGGAGTATGTGTGTGTATGTTTTTAATTTTCATAGTGGTATATAAGAACAATTTATTGTTTAGTAGATTTGTTTTTATCTCTTGCCTCTGCTTCTTTGCTTCTAAATGGAAGAGAGCAAGAGGTAAGAAGCATTGTCCACCAGATAATAGACTATTCAACAATATTGCCATGAGAATTAAACCTCCCACACTAGTTTTTCTTACTGGCGCAGTTGTACTTTGTGAAGCGTCATGAACCTTTCTCTATTCATTTTCTGTCCCCTCCTTTTACGCACTGAATCGGTATTAGTTGTATACTTAAAGGTGTCTGCTCTTACAGCCAGGAGAACAGGGGTGAAGGGTTAAAAAAGTCAGTTGGAAATACATATTTCTGTGTGCTTCTAGTTAGTTAATAGCCCAGAGCTTCTCTCTGCCACCCTCGGTCTGCAAAAATAAGCTGTCGTACAATTTTTGTAAGATAAAATATCAGAGGTCAAGTAGAGTAATGGTGATGGATGAAGAAAAGCAAATGGGTTTAGTAGCTGTTTTCTTCCTGGAGCGGGTAGGGATAGGAAACACCAAATTCTCAAGATCAGTTAAGTCAAATGTTTTTCCACAGTACTGTAATGAAAATAGATAATATGTTTTTAGTATCTTATGTAGAGCTACAAGTAGCCTGACTCTTAGAGCACATACGCATGGAGTTGAGACGTGCATTTCAGTCTGTTCCCCATGACACTCATTCGCTTGGTCTTTTCATCTTTACTCTTTTAGTCTGTGCCTTGTCATAGACTAATGACAGAGAGAAATTAAGTAAAGTCTTTGAGAGATGAAAAGTTGGGAAGTACTAGAGAACTCTGATTAATCTTCATATCTTAGTAAAGTGATGTTTGTTAACGTTAAAAAAAAAAAAAGTATATCTCTCTTCTCAGCTTTTCAAGTAGCTCCAAACTTAACAGTAGAAGGTAAAGCAGAACAAAAGCTATGGTTTCTTTAGAAG